ATCGGTTTGGCTCAGTGGATAGAGCGTCGGCCTGCGGACTCAAGGGTCCCGGGTTCGATTCTGGTCAAGGCCATGTACCTTGGTTGCGGGCACATCCCCACTGGGGGGTGTGCAGGAGGCAGCTGATCGATGTTTCTAGCTCTCTATCCCTCTCCCTTCTTCTCTGTAAAAACTCAATAAAATATATTTTAAAAAAATAAAAAATAAAAGCTACTTAAGAAACACATAAACTAAATGCAAGGTGTGCACATTTCTTGGATGCCAATTCAAACAAATAAATTGTTTTAAAAAATTGAGATGAATGGGGAAATTTGGAACATTAACTAGATTCTTGATTGCATTAATGACTGCTCCCTTTTTTAGGTGACAATCATGGTATTGTTATCATACGTAAATTAAAGGGAATCTTTTTTTTTTTTTAAGTCATTAGAACCAGAGAGTCTACAACAGGGGAAAGGAAGGTAGAATACAGAAACTAACTCAGTTTTATAGATCTTAAGTTGAGAGTTGGGTACATGGATATTTGTCTTATTATTTTTTATCCATTTTTGAATGAAACACAGAAAAATGGAAAGAAGAAATACTCATCATTATAATTCATAATATACTTATTGCTATCATTATTGTTGTAGGAAAGAAAAAGAGATCCATCTAATTAGAGTACAAAGTGGAGACAGGGAAGTAATTTGAATATATGGTAGATTTGGACCAGAGTTAAGGGCCAGGCAGCAGAGTTTAAGATTTGTTGGGGGAATTGTTGGGTAACAAGTGTCCAGCCACAGAGTAAGAAATTAAAGCAGTCCAGTAACAGTCTATACGGGATAGCACTATGGTGTATGTATGGCAGCCTTATTTTTTTTTAGTGCCCTATACAGTGCAGCTGACGACTTGAGGCCTTGCTTTGTAATAAAGTGAGCGGGCACACGTGGCATGACTGCTCAGCATGACAATCCTGAACCAGGTCCGGAAATGACAGCAAAGCCAAAGGTTTCTGCACTGCTGGGAATGGGAGGGAAGAAAAAACTAGAAAGGGGGAGGGCATGGGCACGAGGCTAGGGAGTTCAGCACAACGCGGCACATCCACTGCGACTTTTCTGCTGATGGGGCGCATCGTTGATCCAGAGAGAATCACCTCAGCAGAACAATGCAGTGTGCTGGGCCTAGAACCCAGGGCCAAAACGTCAGCACTGATCACTCTCCTGGGCCCTACTCCCACCACGTGCTTGTCAGCAACATACACCGCACACATACCACTTTCAAACCGTAGGCTGAGCGGCCAAAACAGATGTAGAGAAATGAGGCCTGTGGCTGGGTTGACGGTTATGCTTACAGGGTCAACGTGGAAATGAGGATTCTACTAGCTTATTGAACCCATGTATTTCAAGGAGGCTACGAGAACGTTCTTTCCTACCCCTCCCTTAGATTTCCCTTCTCTGGATCATAGTGCTGCCTCTTTAATGGTGGATTTGTTTTATGGATCCACCTGTGGAAGGCACACTATGTGCCAGGCACAGCTCACGGTGCTTAAGAGCCATCAGGGAATAAAAGAAAGATTCCTGGCCCTGAAGAACTTTTCCCTTGACTGGAGGGGCAGGCAGACAAGTGCTTTTTGGAAACTGACAGGTGTTCCTGCAAAATGAAGGAAACATAACAAGGTGAAGGGTGGAGAGTGCAGAGGGGAGGGCAGTTTGATACTGAAGCCACCAGCTGATGGAAATACTGACTTTGGAATTCTGCCCCTGTCCTCTATCACCACTCCCCCTCACCACTCATCACACTAGCAAAGGTGGTCGGGGAAACAAGACAATTGTCGGGTTTATTTCAGAGTCAAAAAAATAACTAAATTCAACTATTTCCTCTACACTCTTTTTCTGAAAAATGAAAGCAAATGTGGTCTAAAGAAGGAAGGCACTAACTGAAGTGAAGCAAAGTGATACCAAACAGATTTCTCCTCCCCATCTCCTCCCTACCATAGTCTGTGGCTTGTTGGCATTTATGTCATGAGGGGCCCATGCTGTCACAATGAGCCTGGATCCTTTATGCACAATGGCATAGCCTGTTGGGAGTAATTAGCAAGCTATTACCCAACTCCTATAAACTAATGGTATCTTTCTTATTGTTTTGTGTGGTTTTTTCCAGAGGATCACTCGAAGCAAGTCAAACAAGAGTTGATGGCCTAGCCCTGAAAAAGGAGGGGTGATACAAATTATGTGGCCCAATTCTAAATGCTTTCTCCTCTTCCACAGACATGTCCTCCCACCACAAAAAAAAGGGGGGGGGGCACAGAGAGAGAAAAAAACTATGATTAAATGGGGATTGGTGCTAAAAGGCAAGAGTAAAGATTTGCTTCTCTATATTTTGCAAACTTCTATCATGAAAATGTATAATGTTCACAATTAGGAAAAAACAACCCAACCATATAGAGATACTTGAGAGATAGATGGCCAAAAGATGGCCATGAGGATCAATTGCTCGACACCCTAACACTTCTGATTGCTGAAGAACTACCTGTTGAACTATTCAATCTTTTGTGAGATACTAGTATACACGCAGGTTAGACTTATACCCAGAGTAGAGCCTGATCCACAGAGGAAGAGAACTATAATCTCTCATATCTTATATTTAAATCATGCTGACGACTATAGTTATGATGCTGAAGATGGCTCTCCCATTCTTCACACCAGCTGTTTAAATTTTGACTCTTAACAGCAGGAAGAAAAGCTGATCTAATGGTGAAATAAACTTATACTGGAATCATGAGATGTTTACCATAAATTTATATATAAGGTTCAGAAATATTGAAGACTTATTAATCGTCTTTTGCTTGAAACTTAACCTTGGCATAGGCTTAGGATTTTGGCATGTACACTCTGAGACATGATTCAAAATGGCAACAAAATTATGAAGTGTTTAGAAATTAACTTAACCAAGAATATCCTTCTAGAGTAGACCTTTATAGTGAAAACCTTAAAGTTCTAATAAAAAACTTAAAAATGAGCAGATGAAGTATTTAGGGATAAAGGAGCATGATGTGTGCAACTAACTCAAATGGGTCAAGAAAAAAAAGCACAGAAATGTGGAAAGGGAGTAATAGAGCAAATATGGTAAAATGCTAACATTGGTGAGTCTAGGTGAGGAATATACAGAAGCTCTTTGTACTAATCTTAGAACTCTTCTGTTAGTTTTAAATCTTTTCCAAATAAAACAAAAATTATTTTTAAAAGTTGAGCTGGAAAAAAAAAAGAGAGACACACATTACATGCTCTTGGAGGAAATATGTTAATATCAAAAAGATGTCAAGCCTCTCTTAAATAATTTATAAATTCAATGTAATCCCAATTTAAAAAAATCCTCAAAAATATAATTTTGGAAGAACCTGATAAACTTATTCCAAATGTTATACGGGAAAATAATTATATGAAACAAATCATTTATTCCAGGAGAGCTAAGTAAACTTAAATACAAAGACCAGAAACAGGGCACTTGTTGTGCTGGTCATGAGGACATATTACTAAATCACTGTAATAAAAACAGAACAATAAAAAATATGGAGCAAAAGCTGACAGATTCATGGAACAGAACAGAGCCCTAGAGACGGACCAGTATATCCATGGACACCATATGAGAAAAAGGGTACCACAATTCAATGCAGGCAAGCCTGGGCTTTTTGGAGATGTTATTGGGGAGGGGGGGGGGGAGGGCGGAGGGGAGGAAAGGCTCATTAAATAACAGTAGAGGCTGGATCACTAACACCACATGCAAGGTGGGCTCCAGATGAACTGAAGATATAGCTGTGACCTAGGGGTTGGGAGGGGCTTCTTACACAAAAGTCGACAAGCATAAAACAGTCCAAGAATGTATTTATATGATTACATCAAAATTAAGAAATTTTTCTTGATCAAAGGATAACAAAGGCAACATTAACAGGTGACCAATGAGAAGATATCTGCAAAGTCTATATGTGACAGAGTGATTATCTATATTATAAAATCACTTCTACAAGTCAAAGGCAACACAGATAGCAACGCCAATAGAAAATGAGCGAAGATGTAAGCAGCGGCTGTATCTGAATGCATAAGAGATCCTTAAAATCATTAGTAATGAAAAAAACACAACTCAAAAGGACAAGATCGCACTTTGCACCTATGAGATGAGAAAAGGGAAAGAGCCGCATAAAGCTGAGTGCTGGTGGGACATAACGATAAGGAGCCTTCGAACTCTTGTGGAGGGAGAGAGACGGGTGCAGCGCTTGTGGAGAGGAATCTGGCACTGTTTCCGCAAGTTCTGTACATGCAAACCTATAATCCAGCATCTCCCTTCTAAGTATACATCCCCCAGATAAATTATACGGCGTTATAAGGATACTCATTGCAGCAACATTTTTGGTGTTAGAGAGTAGGGACATTCTGAGTATCTATCACAAAGAGAGCATTTAAGAAAAGTTATTGTGTGCACGCAGCATGGAGGATTCAGAAACAAAGAATTAGATGTACGCATAGAAACATGGATGGATCTTATAAACAGTCTTAGAAAAAAAAAGCAAAATAAAACAGAGCATTAGAAAGATACACATTTAGAAAACAAACATCCCCACTTTGCAAGATCCTATACAGACATAAAACAAAAACAAAACAAAAAAACACCCACATTAACTCCATTAGGATAAGTACCTATGAAGCACAAGGTGAATGGGAAGAGGTTAAGGTGAATTAAAAACAAAAGAAACCTTTTGGACTCCTTGCATGCTAAAAAACAATTCAAATGACCCATGATAAATAGAAAATTAGAATTGTTTCCTTCCCAAAAGTTTCCAACTTTCCCAACAACAAAAGCTACTCTGGTTGCCAGCTCTGTTGATGAGTAACAGCTTTTCATCCTTTTTCAAGCAGGAAGGGAAAATTCAGGGATCAGCAGGGTACTACAGGGATCAGCAGAGAATATTCACGAAAGAGTGTTTTTTGTTCTCAGGACCTGACACCTGACTGGAAAGACCTGATTACCTCTGATTTGCGGTGATTCAGCTACAGGTGTGTCAGCAGCGTCACGTTTTCAGGTCATTTGAAGCTCTCTAATTTTAGAACCTGTTGGCATACAATCCTCTGGCTCCCGTGGAAATGTGCCATACGACTAAGAATCATAAAAATGGAGTATAATTTAGGGTCACACAGCTAGTATGAAAGGGTAGTCCCTTGACCCCCTTCTGTCAATTCTTGCCCAGCAGCTGGAGTGACCCTGTTAAAATATGTCATCATGAGTGCCTTTGTTCCAAGCCCTCTAACGGTTGCTTCCCCCTCACTCAGAGTAAAAGCCAAAGTCCTTCAATGGCCTGCAGTGACGCGCCCCCTCCCACTCCCACCGCCTCTCCTCTGCTGCCACTCACTCCTCACCCACATTGATACAGCCTGGCCTCCATAACCTCACAGTCTCTCACACATGCCAAGCACGCGCCTGCATCCGGAGCTTGGGACTTGCTCATCCCTCTGCCCCCTGCTCTCTCCCTCGTTCACCTTCAAGTCATAGATCAAAAATGATCTTAGTAGAGGCCTTCTCTAACCTCTTTGTATAAAAAGTAACCCCGCCCGCCCCCCTCCCCACGACACACACACACCCTTTCGCACTTAGATCTCTTTCTTTAACGTTCACTGTAAACTTGTGATTGTGCGGCCTTCTATCTGTTCACACAGTTGTTTACAGTCTGCCTCCCCTCCACTAGAATGTCTATTGCAGGAGGGCAGGGCTTTGTCTGTTTCATTCACAGCCGTATCCCTCGCACCTAGAACACTGCCTGGCACATACAGGTGCTCAGTGACTATTTGGTGAGTGAATGAACAAACCAGGAGCAAAACCCATGCCTTCGAACTTCCTAGCACAATGCCCTGTATGCTCCACTGTGCTGCCTGGGTTGTTAATCATATCCTTCATGTTAGAAAACCCTACAAATCTAAAAATGAAATAATACACTTTCAATATTACACTTTCTATGTCTATTTTACCTCCTCCTATGGCTGACTTTTATAGCAGCGAGGATAAAGCCTACAAGCAAAAGCTAAGACCTTGGTTTATTTACTGGCTCTTTCATTATAGACTGTGGTATAATCTGATTTTATGGCTGCAACTTTAGACCTTTTTTGCCTTTCCAGGGGAGAGAGTTAATGATCTCATAATTAACTGCTAATGAACAAGACTAAGTTATCCAATTTTGAATATTAGTCTATTCAAATGTTTTCCTGAGCTAAGAATAATAAAGAAATATTTAATATTAACTGATGTGAAATTTTTGTAAGTATTCTGAGTGAATTTTAAGGATGCTTTAGCTGAAGACCAAGCACACTTGAAAATTTCAGAGCAGATAATCTTGTAATAATGCTATGTTGTCAGTAATTAACTGACTTCAGGAAATGACAGAATAATAAACCAAAAAAATAATTCAAGCCTTATACTTGGCAATAGGCATGCAAGCCTCCATTTGCATTCTGTTTTAATTGTGTTTATCATTTTTTTAAAAGTCTCCATAAAAATTCAACACGGAAGTATCTGTTAATTTTTAAAAATTGCTTTTTGATTAGTTTAGCCCCAAACTGATAAAGTGACTGGGAAGGTTGAGAGTAATAAGGACTTTGAAGGTTCACCACGCATCCTGCAGAAAGGATGTCCCTCTGAGGCAGAAATAAATAACTGTTATTGGCACAGGGAAGATAAAGACCTAAACACCGTCTACCTGAACCAGGGCCTCATGGTGTCTGGCACTCTGTTCTAAAAGTGAATCACCACCATTAGTTTTAGGACATCTTAAGTGGTGACTCAAGATTTACGACTTCCATCCTTTGAGTGGAGAAAATGTAATGTAACTCAGCCAGTGCTTGAAGGAGCTATGAACATTGTCATGTGGGTGAAAGGCACGTGACAAGGGTCTCTGCAGGTAAGAGGGGAACTCAGAAGAAAGGAGCCAGAAAGAAGAAACAGGAGGCAGGGAAGGGTCCGCTTTGGGGCTGCAAGACAAAATAAGTAACTTGCACATAGTTGGACAGATTGTCTATAAAGATTATGGTTATATCTCAGCTGAAAACACACATAATATGAACACTGTTGAAAAGGCATCTTATCACATTTTCTGAGGCAGAATGTTCTCATCCTATTGCAGAAGATATCTGGCCCTGCACAGGCCCCACGCTCGGGTCAGACTTCAGCTGCTCTCCCCCATACACAAAGCGCTCCATTCGCGCCTGAGTTTAAGTGAACTTAACACTGCAGGATCTGTCACTGGAAAAATCACTTTTCACTTATGTTAGCCCAACACTGATAAAGTAACTGGGAGGGCTGAGGAAAAAATAATGAACTTCAAGATTCGCTACGCAGCATGCAGAATTTTAAACCTGTTTTCTTGAAACTTTTTGTTGTCACAATGAGGACATGTTTCAAATTTGTAATATGTAAAATCAGGGAACTTTAGAGGTGGAAGGGGGCGGGGCTTAGAGAGCCTTTAATAATTTAGAGAAAAATGGGTACTAGGAGATTAACTTGCCCACCACAGGGAGTCTATTCATGTTGAGAGTAATCAGTACGGCACTAACTCGGAGAAATCATGCCTGCATGCTGACAGGTACTTCAGTCGTACAAAATACAGCTATGGAGTAATCAGTCCTACTCTCCCCCTGTAACGCAGCTACGCTAACAGTTGAAGCTAAATTATGCGCAAACTCTAAATAGTAGTGCTACCAATGGCTTGCCATGTACAATCAGGAAAAGTTTCCATACACAATGCCCTTCTTACTGTAAAACACACCGAAAGGCAAGGTACCCACATGACAGATTAATGTACCCTACATTATTACATAGATGAGACAATCAAGGATCACGAGATTGCTTTTCAAGTGGAGGGGGTCTCTCTCGCATTTAAAATTTAACCCTATACCCCAAGCATTCTCCACAGCGCCTAACTTGCAGCAGACCTAGCCTGTTCTCAACCCCAATATTTTTTCATTCAACTGCCAGCATCGTCCCCCTTTGCGGGGCTTATGTGCTTTGAGAGACTGTTGCCTGGTGGACATCAGTACCTGTGGCAGGCACGCAGGTGTCTGCTGGTAACTGCACCCCCCCCCCCGCACCCCCACCCCATGATCAACTAGCACCTCTAGCTCAGCAGGTCTCACTCTTGCTTTAGAAACCAGCCCTCCCAGCCTCCGTGACCCAGATTCATTCACTCCTATGGACTGGGTGTGACTCCGGGCTGCAGAAGAAGGTCTCCATCTGTAAACCAAGGAGGCTGGGCGAAGGCTGAATTCTTTCCCAGCTTTCAAATTCCGCCCCATCGCCGGAGGGGCCGGGCGGTGCGGGGCCAGGAGCCCGGGGCTTGCCAGGCACCGTGTAGAAAGCCCACGTCCGCATCCCCCTGACCGCAAGGCCACCGGCCCCTCCGGCTCCCCGGGACCTCGCAGGACCCGACCCGGTCGTGGACCCGAGGGCGCCGAGGAGGAGGGCCCGGAGCCCCACCGCCCAAGGGCGCGCTGGCCCCCGGCAGCGGCCGCCGCGGGGCAGGGGCGGCGCAGGCCGGGCCGCGCGGCGCCGCAGTCCCTCCGGGCGCGGGTGCCCGGTGCCCGCGGCCCCCGGACCAGGACCAGGGCTTCCCGCCCCGCCCCGCCCCGCCCGGCCTCTGACCTGCTCTCCGCCGCTCGGCGATCCCTCGGTGCCGCCGGCAATTGCGGCCGCCCGTCCCGGGCCGCTGTCACCTCCGCCCCGGGCAGCGGCGGGCGGGTCAATCCAATGTGACTCAGAGCGGCCGCCCCGCCCCGCCCCGCCCCCCGCCCAGGCTTCCGCCTCGTGGGCCCCGAGGCAACACGCTTCGCCCGGGCCCAGGCCCCGCCCACCGGTGACGTCAGGGGGCGGTGCTCCGGGACCTCCCCGGGGAGACTGACCCGCTGGTGCGTCCCGGGCGCCCTCTGCTCGCGGGCGGGCGGTCCTGCGCGCAGCTCCGGTGAATAGCAAGTTCCTCTCCCTGCAGTTCCTTCACCCCGCACCCGCCTCCCACCCAAAAGGCACCGTTCTGTTCGGCTCGCGTCTGCGGTGCTACCCGCTGTGATACCCGGGGCAGCTTCCCTGGTCACCGCCCGCGACACGTGGTTCGCCTCTGTCTGTCCCATTTTTCCCTGAGCAGAGACTCCCAGACCATCGTTGAGAATCTAAAAGCGAGGATAACAGAATGCGAGAACTGGTGAATTCCTCTGTGTACTCAATGGCCACGAAGTCGCGCTTGCTTGAATTTCTGATATCTACATAGGAGCTTCTTAGGAATGCAAGAAGTCCATCACTGTGTGTGCATAACAGAGATAAACCTCTACTTCAAAAATCTCACCGGAAAAAATAAATCTCACCGGGACATCCTCTCTCCTTTCCTCTGTTAGGCAATAGGGACACAAAGATAAACTCACGTGTTCCTGAGAGATAGACAACCTTTCACAACTGAGATCAACCCTGTCACAAGCCAAAGAATCACAACCCACATTACCATTCAGTTCCCTACTGTGCTTGGCTAATTGTGATAAAATATACACTGAGTGGCCAGATGATTATGACCACCCCATCAGTACTTCATTGACACTTGCAAAAATACTGAATATTGAAAACTTCCTAAGCAAATACTCTCAAGGTTTTATTACTATTTGCATAACTAATTCACTTCATTGTACTGATGGGGTGGTCATAATCATCTGGCCACTCAGTGTATATACCATAAACTTTATCATTTTAACCATTGTAAGCGTATGGTTCTGTGGCATTATGCACGTTCGCATTGTTGTACAACCATTACCACCATCCACCTCCAGAACTTTTCCATCTTCCCAGACGGACTCCTCATTAAACACGAACTCCTCATTCCTCTCTCCCCCAGTTCCTGACACCATCATGCTACTTCCTGTCAGATCCCTCGCATAAGTGAAATCATACAGTATTTGTCCTTTTGTGACTGGCTTATTTCCCTTGGCAGAATGTCCTCAAGTTTCATCCACGTTGTAACATGTCAGAATATCCTTTAAGTTGGAATAATATCCCGCATTTTGTTTGTCCCACAGCATCTTGTTTATCCCACATCTGCTTTCACCTTTTAGCTATTAAGAATAATGCTATGAGCATGGGTGTTACTGATGTGTTTGAATCTCTGCTTTCAGTTGTTTTGTGTTGTTAACGTAAAAAACCATTGTAACCTGTAAAGAATTTTTGTGAGTTTATTTGAGCCAAACTGTCGACATATGCAGGGAAGCAGGACCTCAACATATTGAGATAATGCTCCGGAGAATGGCGGGTTACATCCGTATTTATACATTGCAATCAAAGGAAAGGGACATAGGTGGGTTACATGAAATCCACTGGTGATAAACTAGAGTGGCGGGAGAAAGCAAAGCAGGGAAACCCCTGGGATTGGATAAAAAGTAAAATGATAGACACATCAGGAATAATTAACATGATAATGAAGGAATTTGTGATATCTGTCCTGACGCCTAGCACATTAGGTTGTGCCCCAAGGGGTCCAGAAAAAGGGAAGTTATAAGTTACCCAGACATTTCAAAGGGTATGTTATTATAGATGCAAAAAGATAGGCAGGCTCAGTTAAGGTAAAGATGAAGATACCGGCCTAGGATGTAACTGCCCACCATAAATGCTTTTAGTTAAAGTTTCATTTCAGACCATCCTTTGTGGTAACTTTAGGTCTTTGAGTTTGCAAGACTGCCATGCAGGCCTTCCCAAGCTTGTCAGGTTAGCATGTGTCCCCTTTCATCCAGAGTGTATGTACCCTGGTGCGGCGTTGGTGGTATAGTGGTGAGCATAGCTGCCTTCCAGAGTGTATGTACCCAGAAATGAAACGGCCAGACCACATGGTAATTCTATATTTCATTTTTTGAGGAATTGCTGTTTTCCTCCTTTGCTAAAAAGAAAAAGCACAACAGAATAAAATCAAATTTTTAATACATGCACATGGGGAATTCACATACTAAGTCAAGTCTACATTAGCCAAACAAAGTAGGGAACTGAATGATAATGTGGATTATGACTCTTTGGCCTGTGACAAGGCTGATCTCAATTGCTTCACACACAATTGTAAGAAGTTGTCTCCCTCTCAGGGAGGAGTGAATTTATCTTTGCGTGCCTGTTGCCTAGCACATAGGTGGGCCTAGTAAATGTTGAATGATTGAGTTTGCTTGAGTTAAGAGTCACAGTAAAATTGAAATGGTATTTAAATTTAATAAAATTGCAATGCCCTTTTGTTGTTTTTGTCCATAACCACCCATTCTCCTTTATTTAGTTACAGTGTTTTGTTTTTTGTTTTGTTTTGTTTTTAAATGGGAACCTGTAAATATTTCTCTCGTCTGTGCTAGAGAGAGGTCGGGTTCCTGAGTAGGGGCGGCTGGGGATTGAGAAAATGAAAGAAAGAGACAGACACAGAGATGGAAGGAAAAAGCTGGGGCCGGTGGGACCACTGTCCTCTGATGGAGAGACAGGGGCTCAGCGCCAATACAATGTGTTTATTTTATACAGAAAAAAAAGGAAGTTTTACTAAAAGTCAAGACAAAGGTGATTATGTGCATTCTTGGGTGGGCCTGAGTCGTATTCATTCCTGGTGCTTGGCTGGATTTAAACAACAAAACCCACCCCCTGGCACCTGGGCTGAAGGTCAATCTCACAACACTCCTGCCTCTGGCAAAGCGTGTTTCCAGACGTGGCTTTGCCAACATCACTGGATTCAGCTGACGATAATTAAAGAAATGCCTGTGTGCCTTTCCAGGCGCTCTCTATAGGAACCAACTGTCCTGTACTATTAGTCGCCCATACTCACACCTGCCTCCCAGGAAGGGGCATATAACCCCCAACTGATCAATCATAGTCAATATGATAGTTTAACGGACAGACACATAACCCAACTTGTGCTATTGAGTCAGGTCACAGAATCAATAGTTTGTTGGTAGGCTGGTAGAATACAAGGTAGATGCTGCCATTGCTCAACTAGTCCTCTCATGGGGAGAGCCAGTGTGAGGCTGATGTCACCACCAAAGACAATGAAATCCAGAAATGGAGATTCTAGAACAGTGGTTGGCAAACTGCGGCTCTCAAGCCACATGCGGCTCTTTGGCCCCTGGAGTGTGGCCACGAAGTTTCAATCGCACTGTATGTGCGCACCCACACGTGGTATTTTGTGGAAGAGCCACACTCAAGGGGCCGCAGTTTGCCAACCGTTCTAGACTACATAACTAGGGCACCTAGATCCAACTGTGTCGGAAACCCCTCTTATCCATTTTTATTTATTTGAGCTACTAAAGGTCCCATTTTTAAACTACTCGGTCACAAATGCCAGTCTGAGATGAATATAGTTACTGTTCCAGCAAAATGAGAACTTTTTTTAGATTATATATTTCCTGACTTTTAGCAATAGAGTACTTGTGAATTGATGGTGATAGTAGATAGTAATTGTATTTTTCTAATCGTCTTTAATAGAAAATTAGGAAGTCCAAAATAGAAAGTTGGTGAACCCTATATCTAACCCTCTGTCTGCTCCAGCTGCTATAACAAATCACCGTAAGGTAGTTTAAATAGGGAACGCGTATTTTTCATAGCATTGGAGACTGTAATCTGAGACCAGGATGCCAGCATGGGCGGATTCTGGTGAGGACCTGCTTCCTGGCTTGTGCATGGCCTTCTTGTTGAAGCCTCACATGGCAGAGGGAAAGGGGTAGCTGTCTTCCTCTTCTTCTAAGGACATAAATGCCATCACGGGGGCTCCTCCACTGCCATTACCTAATTGCCTCCCAAAGTCTCCACCTCCAAATAGCATCACAGTAGGGCTTCAACTTATAAACTTTGGGGGCACAAAAACATTCAGTCCGTGGCATCCTCTATTAAAATTTTGCTATCAGTCTGAAATGCGTTTTCTATAAAGTACAGTGTGTGAAATATACTTTATTTGGATATACAAACAAAAGTGGTAAAATTGCGATCTTTTTATTTCTTAGTTTATTTATACCTCATCTGATTCCAGAAGGGATTTAAAGAAACTCACTCGACTCCTTTGATCTAACGCCCAGGAAGCGCTCTTCATTCCAGAGGCCTCACATGGGACGATCTAAAGGGAAGTCAAGGGGGCCTTTCCTCTCTCCTCCTGGGGAGCAGACATGGATCCAAGTGATCATTTTACTTGCCTCCTCCCCGGGACTGCGCAATAGGAAGCAGTGTGGCCCCGAGGGGTTCTCCTCCACGGCTGGCATCTACCCAGGAATGAACCACGGTCCCTGCTTCTAGGTGATGCTTCATCCCACAAGTGACAGGGCCTTCACGGGGGGCGGGTAAGGAGCACGGGGAGCATGTGGGAACTGGAGAGAGAGAAAGCAGGAGAGGGAAAGATCCTGAGGGGAAGGAGTGCAGGGAGGAACATTAAATGATGAGGGAAGGAATTGGGAAAATAAGAGGGGGAAAAAGGCCTTTATAAATAGTGGAAACTAACTTTTTGGAGGAGGAAGAGAACTGATATTTATTTAGGCACTTGTTCAGGGGGAATGTTTACTCGTGGTTGATAAGCCAGAATGGAGTTAGGGTTAACGTGGAAATATTTCAGGCAGGAGGTGGGCATGACGACTGTCAGTGCAGGATGCGTTGGGGGCGTGTGCATTGTGCAAATCATAGTACAACGTATGCGAAGATGATACTCCAGACACCTGAACTCTGAACTCTCCCATTCTGATGGCAGAGTCCAGGCTGTCCCACTTTCTCAATACTTGTATGTGAAATGGCCAGGAAGATTAGGGGCATTTTCTGCGGACATGGAAAAAGTGAATCTCTTTGGCTCACGTATAACTAGACTTAATGAGGTTTGGATGTTGTCCTGTTTCTTAGACCTATCAGGAAGCTACACACACACACACACACACACACACACACACACACACACACACTTAAACCCAAGAGATGCTGTGGCAAGAACCAGCTGCGCTCATTCCTGCCACAGCGTACTTGAGCTTGCTATTCCTTCTGCCAGGAACTTTTTTTTTTTAATGAACAGATGGGTAGAGATACTTTTATAAAACCAAAACAGTCATATTTCGGATACAATTCTAAATTTAATTTTACGGAGGCCCTTCTCCCAATTCTCCCAAACACACGGAGCTCCTTATGAAGTCAAGTGCCCGTCTGCATCCTGGGGTGACTGCCTTGCATCCAAATGGGCCACAGACACAGGCCTGTGGGTATAGAGAGGACGGAGCAGGGGGCACCTGAAGAAGGAGGAGGAGACAGGTGAGGATGGAGGAGAGGCCACGTGAAGATGAGGGGAGGTGGAAGGGATGGGGCCAGGAGCAAAGGAGCCCCAGGAGCCCCTAGAGCAGCGGTTCTCAACCTGTGGGTTGTGACCCCTTTGGGGGTCGAACGACCCTTTCACAGGGGTCGCCTAAGACCATCGAAAAACACACATATAATTACATATTGTTTTTGTGATTAATCACTATGCTTTAATTATGTTCAACTTGTAACAATGAAATTGGGGGTCACCACAACATGAGGAACTGTATGAAAGGGTCGAGGCATTAGGAAGGTTGAGAACCACTGCTCTAGAAGCTGAGGAGGCAGGAAGGACCCTGCCCTGGAGCCCTCGGAGGGAGCACAGCCCCAGACGCCCTGATTTCAGATCCTGGCACCCAGAATGGAGAGAGCACTTGTTCCTGTTGCTTCAGGCCAGTCTGTAGTCATCCAGCAGCAGCCTCAGGAAATAGGCCCCTCCTTTTGGGGCTTTGACCGGGTTCTGGGAGCAGCTGAGCCCTGTGCCCCGACAGGGGAGACCCCTCACCCCCGCCCCCTAGACCTCTCACTGCAGGGCTCACAGGGAGATCCAACCTTGTGTCTGAGCCTCGGCCTGTCTCCTGCCCCCGGGGGCTCCTCCGCAGTGACAGTGTGGTGGGCACACCAGGCGGCTGCTTGGTGGGAAGCACAGCCACTGGCTCAGGGACTCCCCACCGCCTGGCCCAGGCCCAGCTGCAGGATGAGGCAGCGCTCTCCCCAACCCCGTCCTCACGTCCCTCCCGGGCCTCCCCCAAGGCAGTGGTTCTCAACCTTCCTAATGCCGCGACCCTTTCATACAGTTCCTCATGTTGTGGTGACCCCCAATTTCATTGTTACAAATTGAACATAATTAAAGCATAGTGATTAATCACAAAGACAATATGTAATTATATATGTGTTTTCCGATGGTCTTAGGCGACCCCTGTGAAAGGGTCGTTCGACCCCCAAAGGGGCCGCGACCCACAGGTTGAGAACCGCTGCCTTAAGGAGTCCTGGCTGGGCCTGGGCTTCCTGGAGCACCTGGGTTGACAGGAGCCCAACAGCCGGCTGCCGTGCCCATATTCTAGATGCCAAGACTAAGGCTCAGAGAGGGGAGCAGAGATCCCCACCCCCAGCCCACCTCCCCCTCATCTCAGCCCAGCTGACAGGTGGCTTCCCCAGCTGCCTCCCGGTTGCCATGGTGTCAGCGGAGGAGGTGGAGGGGCAGATTTGTGAATTCATATCCCGGGTCTTTAACAGATAAAAACCTGACAGCATTGTGCTGGGGTCTTATGGTGGTTCAAACGGTGGGAGACTGTGTTTGGCTATAAACGCGGGTTCCTGCTCCCGGTTTTCCTTCCCCGTGTCCTGAAGGCGGACAGAAGAGGGTGGGTGTTATTGTTTATTGATTTTGATCCTTTGGAAAAGAGGGAAGAGCCCTAGTCTCTGGACATGCTTTACATTTTCTCTTGTTTTAGTATTTGTGCCCGTGGTGCTTGTCCACAAGGAAGGAAAAACAATGTAGAGAGAGGGTCAATGACCTGAGGAGAGAATACCCTTTCCAAATGGGGAAAGATACCTTTTCCTCCGCTTTCCTTTTGACCAGAGATGGAGAGATTGGTTGAGAAACAGAAAAATAACGCCGAAACCGGTTTGGCTCAGTGGATAGAGCGTCGGCCTGCGGACTGAAAGGTCCCAGGTTCGATTCCGGTCAAGGGCATGTACCTGGGTTGCGGGCACATCCCCAGTGGGAGATGTGCAGGAGGCGGCTGATCGATGTTTCTCTCCCATCGATGTTTCTAACTCTCTATCTCTCTCCCTTCCTCTCTGTAAAAAATCAATAAAATATATTTAAAAAAAAAAAAAAAAGAAAAAGAAGTCATGTGTGAATCCTCATCTTGAATGGCGTCCGGCAGGGGGTGGCGGTCTCAGCCAGCGCACCTCTGTTCTCTGATGGGCAGGGCTACTTGTTGAGAGGAGCTAACTTGCTCAATGTTAGAAAGGGCTGCTTAGATAGAGGCTAGGGGTGGGGAGTGGGGAGGCTAAGAGGTGGGGGTGGTGAAGCAAGTGGGGGAAACGAACCAGCCCTATCTAACTGAGGCTGAGCCCTGAAATGGGGTACATGCCCCAAAAAATCCTACCAAGCTCTGGGGCCAGGGCGTTGGAACGCGTCATGCCCAGTGGGGGGTTGTGAACTGGTGTGCTGTATGGTGTGTGATGGAAGACTACACATCCGTTCACAATCTTTAGTAACATCTACTGTGCTCAGCGGCACTTTTAGAACAAATGAGTTCGTTCTGGGAAATGAGCAAGAGTGCTCTGTATCGCTGACGCGGGGCAGGGCAGAGCTATTCCCGTTGCATGCCCAGAAAATGTGTAAAGGATGCACAGTTTTTCTCAGAGCATAGGCCCGGGGATCGAAGGGCGGAGGGCTCGATTCCCAGTCAAGGGCACATACCTCAGCTGCAGGTTCCCCAGCCTCGGTAGGGATGCATGTGGGAGGCAACCAATCATTGTGTGTGTCTCTCTCTCTCATCGATGTTTTTCTCTCTCTCTCTCCCCCACCTCCTCCTCCTTCCCTTCTACTCTCTCAAGAAATCAATGGAAAAAAAGTATCCTCTGGTGAGGATTAAAAAAATATATATGCACATTGTTTAACATGTCCATGTACAAAAATGGGTAGCAGTGGGACGAGGTGTTTGTACGTGAAATCCTTTTCTTATCAAGAAACTACTGGCTATTGCTGAAAGGATACTCTGGGATTTCAGATTTGCTCACCGGGTCTTGCTATCGGAACAGCATCAATGGTGGTTCATTCATCGCAGCATGTCAGCTGTTCATTCAGAAATCTTCCTTGAGTACCTATGACGTTGCAGCCTCTGTGCGAGACTATGTGACAGAGTGGCCGGCCAGCCAGAACCAGTCTCTGGATGCATATGGACTGGCACGGAGCCTTCGGGACCTACACCGCCCCTCACAATCGGAAAATCTTACTGAACACCGCTGAGTTTATGTACGACTGCATCAGAGGGCTTACACCTGGAATAGACGGAGACCATCCTGAATTGTCCTGAATATGTTTATATTTAAATATGTCCCAGATGATAAAATAGAAAGAATGCTTCATGTGATCAGAGAGCAGGACCAAAGCCCTTCTGAAGTGCTCCCTGGGCCGCAGTGAATCGCTGAGATTTCCGGCAGGGACTCGGCTGCTGCCATCTCTGTATCTTTTCGCTTGGCTACCCGGGGCTGTACTTGCTTTGGTAAGAGTCTGCCTCCAGGTGCTGCGCCGGGGACTCAGTTACTTGAGGGATGCTTCTCTTGAGTTGGAAGTCAACCTGGAAGAAAAGAAGAGGATGCTAGGAGAGCAGAAGAGGCAGTTTTCGACGTCCTGACATTGAAAGTGGGGGAAGACCTGTCTTGGGCCCTGTTTCATCACAGTCGCAGGTTCGGAGTGCAGGGGACTCAGGAGAATTATCACAGCAACGATCCCAAGCAGCACTCGTGCTGTCATATAGGCTTGGCTAATATTCCCCCCAAAGTGCTACCTAAGGTGACACATAAAGTATACCTGCATGAACTTAATATTCATTCACTTTATATGTATTTGAAAAAAACTATACCTACAACTCAAACCACGATTTTGCCAATACTGTTGCCTCGGACAAGAACTAAGGTTGATGGTGTCATAATAACCCCTTTCCGCTGACTGTGAATCACAGGTGGCGTGCTCCGGCACGCACTCGATTCAGATCCTCAGAACTGAACTTTCTGCCATCATCGTTGAGAAACACAGACTGGAGAGATGAGATAGACTGTTAATATGGATTCTTAAATTCCAAATTGCCGTGCGCATTAATGCATCCTTTCCAGTAATACCTGGGAACTTCGCTTCCGGCTGTGGCACACAGATATGATGGTTTTGACCAACAAGCTGGGATATACTGGCTGCGCAGGAGCTGCAGAACCATCCCAGGAAGTACAGGCAGAGGGAGTGGCTCAGTGTTCTAACCACCCTTCCCTGAGGCACCCTCAGCTTCCAAGCCCCTGGAACAGTGGGAGCTGCTGAAGCCGCTGGGAGTTGAAAAACTTGTGACTAAGAGGGCTCTCCAGGGGACGATTTCTTGCCCCTTCCACAGAAATCTACAGTCAGCTTTTCTGCTAGTTCCCCAAAGTCAGGGAAGTCAGCGCCAACGGCACTAGAGTAATACAGGAATTTAGAAAAGAAACAAGAAGCAACGAAGTGAGAAAAGGAAGAGGGCAATGAGAGAAACATGACATCTAGAAGGCTGTGGGAAAGCAGAGGGGAACCCTGACGCTGGGAGGTGTCTGAGAGGGTCTTAATTGTAACGTGAAAACCACCCAGTCAGGGGTCTCTCCCCACCCCCCCACCCCCGAGCCAAGTGGATCTCTGCTTTAGAATGGGAAGACTCTACTGTGATCACTACGTGGATCCTTAGTTGTTATGGTATCTGGGAATTGTATCCAAGAGACAACATATTAATGGGTTATGTTAATTTATTTAAAGGCCATATCACACAGGAGTTGAAATATTTTGAAGCAGCGCATGTCACTCAAGATTTGCAGTTGGTTGCATTTGGCCCTGAATAGACTTGCTTTATTTTTTTATTTATTATTTTTTTAAATTTAATTTTATTGTTTAAAGTATTACAAATAGTAGTACATATGTCTCCTATTTTTCCCCATTGACTCCCCCCCACCCCCCGGCCCCTGCCTCCCCTACCCTCTGGCACATGCAGTGTCTTGTGTCCATTGGTTAGCGGAGGGTGGGGGGTAAGAGATCAACCGAAGGACTTGTATGCATGCATATAAGCATAACCAATAGACTTGCTTTAATGCAAGACACATGCATACAGCTGCCTAACTGTCATTTGATTTTAGGGTAGGTGAGGAGCAGAGGGTTTCATAAGAAAAAAAGGGAAATTGGGACCTGGAACAGGCTACAGTGGAAGAGTTACTCGGTTTTCTGCATCTGCATGGAAGTCATTTACAATGTGCAGGGGAAGGGAGTGATCACTGAGCCTCTTTGTCTTTAAGATCCTAATCTAATATGACTAGAGCTCAAAAGATTTAGGCTTATAGACGAACACTCTTTGCTTCTCATGTAAAACATGCCATGGAAAGTTGAATGTCAGCTGGTTCTTGCTGAGGCAAGTGGGAAGGAAGGGGTCTGGGCACATGGGGCACCAGAAGGGGGCAGAGTGCCATCTGGTGGTAGTCCTTGCTGATGGCACAGAAGAATGCAACCCCTGGGAACCCATGCATCTGGCAAGGTCTCTGGGACCTTGCGAACTGACATTTGCCAGGCACTTACTTTCTAGGTGTCAGTCACTGTACCGCATGTGCTACGTGCAGGTTCTTATTTCAGTCTCCTGTGAAGGCGGTGCCACTGCCACCAGTTTACAGACCGAAGGTGAGGATGAGAGCGATTGGCTAATGTGTCTACAGTCTGTGGATAAGGGAGCTGGACTGAGAAGCAGACAGTGCTTTTAACCAGTGTGCTGTTAAACCAGGGGTGGGCAAACTTTTTGACTCGAGGGCCACAATGGGTTCTTAAACTGGACCGGAGGGCCGGGACAAAAGCATGGATGGAGTGTTTGTGTGAACTAATATAAATTCAAAGTAAACATCGTTACATAAAAGGGTACGGTCTTTTTTTTTTTTTTTTTAGTTTTATTCATTTCAAACGGGCCGTAGTTTGCCCACGGCTGTGTTAAAGAGAGGAAAAGGAAAAGTCAAAAGGAAGTGGGGAAGGATATAACAGGAAAGTGATGGAAGAAAAATTAGCGAGTGGGAGCAATGAGACTTTTTTATGGCGAAAGAAAAAAGACTGGCAAAGAGTAGAGCTGTGCGACTGGTTGTTTGTGACGCTGTATGAGTGATCTTCACACGCTCGGTAAAAGTCAGCCTAACTCACCCGTTTGGGTTCCCCGGGACCCACGGTCACAGTCACAGTCTTTGGGTCGAACCCAGGTGCCGTGGCAGTGACAGTGTAGGTGCCTGGAAGCAGCAGCCGGAAGTAGTCACCGTGATCACCTAAAGGTTACAAGGATATAACTCAGGCTGCTGATGAGACACTGCCCCAGATATATAGTCTTTATATGAAAAAACGATCTGAGGGTTTCAGCCGACCATAAGCTTGATTTTTCTTAATAGCGTAATGCAGCCGGTTAAGATCTACAGTCACAGGCTACTTTACCTAGAGGAGTATGGGCCTCAGCTTCTGAGAAACAGGAGTTGCCCTGCGAATATGGCGTTTGACTCTAGACCCTGTGTTTTTAAAAACGCATGTCCGGGAAAGGGTCACTGGAGGAAGGTTGAATACCTGTGAATGCCTTTGCTTGGTAAAGAGAATGCGTGCGACCTCGGGTTCAACACCTGGAAAGCCACCGTGAAGAAATAAGCAGGGGGACTTTGGGGTTAAGTTGCTGGGAGGAACATTTTGTTAGACAGAAGCAAAGACTACTGGGACACAGGGAGCTTCCACAAAGGAAATGAACTGCTTTAGGGAATTGTGAGGACTTAGGCAGAGACCGCTGAGGGCGCTGGGGAAGCAACACCGCTGTGCAGTGCACAGCTGCCCCAACGGGCGTGGTGGCCTGGGTTGGACAACCAGCTGTCTCCGTGGTGTCGTTCGCGTACAGTCTTACATTGAGTGGGAGGGCTGGACTGAACGACCACTGAAGGTCTGATTTTGGGAATCCTATTTTCAATATATCTTCCATCACCTCTAAAAGAGAAAAATGAAATTCAAAAAGAGGCCTGTCGCTCTATGGCAGGGCTGTAGCAATTTGGTTAATGACCTCACGTCTCTTTTGAACCAATTGTGACCATGCCTTTACATTTCTTTTTAAGTGTACAGCAATGGATAATTGAAATAAATGCAATTAAGAGTGAGACAGTCCATAAACAGTGAGAAAGTCTCTTTTCTGCCCCCTGTTAAATGTCTGTAATTTACTTTAAAATATTTTAGTAAAAGCAGTGTCTTATTATGCTTATGTTGGACAATTTAAGTCATACCCCAGGGCTATCATTTTCTTAACCAAGGACTCACATCCAGGTGAGGTGGCTAGGACTATATCAGAAAGGCCCAATTCCAATAAAAACTAAACAGTATTTGCACATAAACAGTCATACACTCAAACCCAACATGGTTATTTAAAAGATAGAATACTGAATTAAAGACCCACAGATAAAGGTATCCTTCACCACAGATAATTTGATAGACTTCATCATAAGTAAGTCCACGGGCCCTACTGCTGGGAGCACCAAAATCAACCTCGTTTTCTTTCTTTCCAGTTGACCCAGAGATCCTGTTCTTTCCCTGCTTCGTACTACCATGACATCGGTCAAGAAACCCTCATTGTAACACCATCGTGCGTGAGATGTTCTGAACCATGTCGGAGGTTCTGTCAATCTTGCCCTGCACCAGGTTTATAGGATGCATCTTGCCAGCTTTGTCCTGAATGGAGGTGTCGTGGCACACACACCTGGGTCAGGGACAAGACTAAGCATCCGGTTTACACTCCTTTCTTTCTACCCCTTTCCCACCAGTATGAGAGCTATTACTATTACTAGCTGCAAACCCAGAAAACACCCCTAACAAAGTGACGTGAGGCAGTGGCTCCTGATGCTGAGAGAGATGTGACATTTGCATTTTCCTGGTTCTGGCCTCTTAACTCACCGTTCCCATTTCTGTTACCTTTCCCTCCTCCAGCCCCCCACCCCCAATGGCCTTGATGTCCCTGTGAGTCTCCCTGGCTTACAAGTTGGCCTCCTGGTTATGCTGAAGAAGAGGGAGTGGCTACCTACCTGAGGTGACATCATGGTTAATCCCACTGACAGAAATGACAGCCTTCGGGAGATAATTATTATTCTCATCAAGCACCATTCCCTTGATGCCTTGGTGTACCTGTCGGAAAAAACTTACGGTATAACTGTGATCATGAACATTGTACAGTGTTTTAGAGTCCCCACCGCCCTGTCTCATATGCTTTTGCATTTAACCTCACTAACATTAGCCTAATAACCCCTTAACTGGTCTCTCTGTCCCCTCTCCTTATACCAAATAATCTCTTTTGAATAGAGCAATCAGGATAACCCCATTAAAAGTTAAGTCAAATCGTGTCATACTCAAACCCAACTCAGAGCAACAGTAAAGTTCTTGTGATGGTCTCTAAAGCCACAGCCTCAGTTAGCTGACTAATTTCATCTCCTGCTACCTTCTTCCCTGCTCTTGTAATTATTACAACCACAATAGTGTTCTGGCTTCGTATTTTTTTTTTTATTAAAAAAATTTAAATTGTGATAAAATACATGTAACATACAATTTCTTATTTTAACTATTTTTAGGTGTAGAGTTCGGTAGTGTTAAATATATTCACATTGTTGTGCAAGCAATCTCCAGAACTTTTTCATTCTTTAAAGCTGAAACTCTATACCCACTAAACAAGTCCCGTCACCTTCTCTCTCCAGACCCAGGCAACTACCATTCTACTTTCTGTCTATGAATTTGACCACTCTTTTTAAAAAACATATATTTTTATTAATTTCAGAGCAAAAGGGAGAGGGGGAGAAAAACATCAACGACGAGAGAGAATCATTGATCGGCTGCCTCCTGCACACCCCTTACTGGGGATTGGCAGCAACCCAGACATGTGCCCTTGAGCGGAATCAAACCCAGGGCCCTTCAGCCCTCAGGCCAACGCTCTATCCACTGAGCCATACCAGCAAGGGCTTGACTACTCGTGATATGTCATATAAGTGAAATTATAAGGTATTTGTCTTTTTTTAAAAATATATATTTTATTGATTTTTTACAGAGAGGAAGAGAGAGGGATAGAGAGTTAGAAACATCGATGAGAGAGAAACATCAATCAGCTGCCTCTTACACACCTCCTACTGGGGATGTGCCTGTAACTGAGGTACATGCCCTTGGCCGGAATTGAACCTGGGACCTTTCAGTCCACAGGCTGATGCTCTATCCACTGAGCCAAACCAGCTAGGGCGGGTATTTGTCTTTTTGTGATTGGCTTATTTCAGTTGGCATAATGTCCACAGGGTTTATTTATGTTGTAGCATGTGGCAGAATTGCCTTCTTTTTCTTTTTCTTTTTTTTTTCCCGGTTAATCCTCACCTGACAATATTTTTCCATTGATTTTTAGAAAGAGTCAAAGGAAGGGGGAGAGACAGAGAGAAACATCAATGTGAGAGAGACACATCGATTGGTTGCCTCCTGCATGCAGCCCGACCAGGGCCAGGATGGAGCCTGCAACCAAGGTATGTGCCCTTGACCAGAATTGAACTCAGGACCCTTCACTGAGCCAAACGTGGCTACAGCCAGAATTTCCTTCTTTCTAAGGCAGGATAATATTCCATTTAATGTGTATATCATATTTTGTTTATCCATTTATCTCTCATTGAACACTTGGATTGTTTCCACCTCTTGGCTCTCACGAATACTGCTGCTATGAACAAATATCTCTTTAAGATCCTGCTTCCAGTTTTTTGTTTGTTTGTTTTTTGTTTTTGGGGAGTTTTGTTTTGTTTTGTTTTGTTTTTTTGGTATCTACCCCGAAGCAGATTGTTGGCTCATATGGTGGTTCTATTTTTAATTTTTTTGAGGAACTGTAGTACTGTTTTTCATAGCGGCTGCACCATTTTACATCCCCACCAATAACGTACAAGGGTTCCAATTCCTCCACATCCTTGCCGCCATTTGCCGTTTTCTGTCATTGTTTGTTTTCTAAAGCAGCCGTCCTAATGGGTGTGCGGCGGTAGCTCACTGTGGGCTTGATGTGTATTTCCCCGGTGACTGGTGTGTTGCACCTCGTTCAGTGCTTGTTGTTGGCCTTGCAGTTACTTTTGTGTCCTCACTGAGGTACCCCCTTTTCTCCAGACATCTGCATGGTTCTCTCCCTTCCCTCCTTTAAGTCTGCTTAAATGTCACCTTGGTAAGGCCTCTTCGTAGCATTTAGCATGTTATGAGATTTATTTGATTACTTTGTTTATTGTCTGTCTATCCTCACTAGAATATAAACTCCATATGGACAGGGGTATTTGTTTCTGTCTATGCACAATCCCCAGCATAGAGTACAGTTTCTGATGGATAGTTTTGCTCAGTAATGTTGAATGGATACATTTCATTGGTAGAAGAAGCCCAGATATATTGATGAGTCAGAGCAAAAGTGAGACTTGAGCCACACAGAAAACCTTGCCTGCCATTGGAAAAACCTTCTCTTTCCGGAACCATAAAAGTTAAAAAATTCAATTTTACCTGCTCCAAGAATTGGATTAGGGCTTCCCGATTACCCAGCCACTCGCGCTGTAATTCCTCTTGGCGGGGAAATTTGTCACAACTCAGTTCCAGCGTGATCTCAAAACAGTTGGTATGGAGATAGTTAAAGTCTTGCATTCCTAGGGGAAAGAGCAGGGGCAGATCTGAACAACCAGGTTCCCACCCGACGGCAATTTTAACTCTCTTTAGTCACAGTCTCTCCACACACCTGGTTACCTTCTACCCTACCTCTTGACATTCACTTCCTCCCCTTACCCTTGCTGAGCGAATACCAGGAAGCCCCATTGGTGATGCCATCCGGGAAGTAATCCCCACAGTTCCAGCCATGGTGCATCCATCCATGTGCGTAGGAGTAGACCTTGGCCAGCTGTAGGGAAAGGGGGCAGAAACGACCTTGAGCGTTCCCAACTCACACTGCGATGTTCATACTTAGAAGTTGCGTAAAGCCAAGAAACCCCACTAGGTATAAACTACTGATTATTTGCTTTAGTGAAAGAAAATACCAGCCAACTTAGGGATGGCATGTGTGAGTGTGTGTGTGCAGCGGATTATAGTTAAGCAACCTGAAATCTGATTTTCCACTATCTTGGGACTACATTTCTCCAAGTGCAAAGTGAGGGGTGGCACTAGATGATGTATAAGTTCCCTTCCAGGTGTACACTTTCTTTTTTTATAATTATTTATTTTTATATTTTAAAATTTATTTTTCAATTACAGTTGACATACAATATTATATTTCAGATGGACAACATAATGTTAGACATTAGACATTTCTATACCTTATGAAGTGATCACCCTGGGAAGTCTAGGGCCCACCTGACACATCCATAGTTATTACAATATTCCCTACGCTGTGCTTTAGATCCTTGTGACTGTTTTTATAACTGACAGTTTGTTCTCCTTAATCCATTTCTAGGTGTTCCATTTTCTAGCTGAGTTTTGTCAAAGAAAGAAGCAAATAAGATAGGACTTTGTCAGGAAAAAACTATTTTGAGGGTGAATTGTGTGTTAAGAAAGGAATATATTTAGAATCTCTATTAATTCTCTTTCATTACTATTTTATATCAGTGAAAAAAATGAGATATACTTGCTTTGCAAAGCAAAAACTGGTATTATTCTCTATGTAATTCATTAATTGATAATTAATCATTAATGTTATAATTGTAATAATTAATAAATATTATTAAGTTATATAAATTATATGTTATTAATAATACATTAACAATAAAATAATGTTAATTTTATTCTATTGCCATTTTGAACTATGTGCATAGTCTATTTTCCATTCATATAGCCTTACTACCATAAAATTGCAAATTAGAGCCCCCAAAATTCACATTTAATGCCACTCACTTACCACCAGCACTATTAGTCTTTGGGCATATTTCTTGCTTGTCATTAGCTTAAGTACTTTTTTTACACTGTGGTAATTGTACTCTAAAGCTTTCCTATATGCTTATTTTTTTTCATGACACTTTGGCTTATCACTCAAAACAAAATGCAGTTTTCTAGACTGTGAGCGCCTAATGAGCAAGCAGGGCTGTCCGTTACTTTCTGTGGTCTGTACCTACCAGGGTCCTGTGTTACTGACTTGGCCTGAGTTACTCTCCTGAGTCCCACGTTCCCAGCTGGACAAGCCACCGCTCCGCATACCTTCTGGAAAAGCTTGTCGTCAGGCGTGGGGGTGTTGGCAGTGCGGCGGAAACCCCGGAACCGATGCTCCAGGGACTTGTCATACGGGTAATTGGCCACCACCGCCCCTCCATGGAGATTGGCTGAGAGGACAAAGTTGAGGGAGCGTATCCACTGGATGACGGCCCGAGTCTCAGGTTCCACCTGAGGAGAGATGAGAGACATCTGAATAAGTTTGTCAGTAAGTGGCCTGAGGAGATAGCATGTCCGGATAAGACAGGTCCTACCAGGTATGGAAGTGTAGGTGGGGAAATTTTGACCTTTTGCATGATGGTTTTAAAAAATTAAGTGGATGGCCCTAGTCAGGTAGCTCAGTTGGTTAGAGCATTGTCTCATACACCAAGGTTGCAGGTTCAATCTCTGATCAGGGCACACATAAGAAGCAACCAATAAATGCATAAGTAAGTGGACAACAAATCAATGTTTCTCTCCGCCTCCCCCCCCCCCCCCAGTAACAATAATTTTAAAAAGATTATCTTAAAAAAGTAATTGATGGAGCCCTTTTTCAAAATGAAATCTTATATGGAATCCTAATATATAAAACAGATAAGAAGAGAGCATTTAGTGAAATCATTGTGTATGATACCTGGCAGGATACATGTGTCCAAACCCATAGAATGTACACATGAAGAGTGAACGCTAATGTAAATTATGGACTTTGTATAAGAACGACGAGTCAAGGTAGGTTCATCACTTGTAACAAATGCACCACTCTAATGCAGGATGTTCATGATGGGAAGCGGGGGGGCGGGGGGGGAGTGGAGAACGTATATGGGAACTCTCTGTAGTTCCTACTCAATTTTGCTGTGAACCTAAAACTGCTCTAAAAATAAAGTCTATGAGAGAGAGTGGTGGGGAGGAGAGCGAGAGCGAGAAGGGAGAGAGAGAATGAAAGAGAGAGAGAGAGAGAGAGAAGAGACCAAGCTTGACCCCTCTCTGGCCCCAGGGAAGAGCCCTCCAATTCACCCACTGCTTCAGTGGCTTCGGAGGCACCTTTGCAGAAATTCGGGTTTTGGTGAATAAATGTGGAAAACGCTGGTTTGCAGTAATGGTTGCCAACCTCCTCCTTTCCCTAACACATCTGCTGTGATGGTGACACGGTCATAACCCCAATTCCATGGATGACAACAGTGTAACATGGGCCAGGCTTGGCTAAGAAGTAAAATCCCACCCTACTGATTGCTTATTACAGGGCTAGTGAGTGATGGTGTTCCAAGGAAAGCCACGAACCCCCTGGACTTGCAGTAATTTACATCCTCCCTGTCTTTCCTCCTCTCGGAGTGGATGTGCCTAGAGGTTATGTGGTGTTAATGTGCCTCAGGAGCAGGCCCACCAGCAGGATGAAAGCATTCACATTACCAGGGGTGACAGGACAGGCCTCCTGGGGAGAAAGGCTTGGGACCATCGAATGGGATCCTCTGACTGGAGAGGAAGGGAAATGAGAGTACGGTAAAGTAGTCAACGCTCATATGGAAAGGAAGGAGGAAAAACTATGCATAAGAGTAAGACTCTCTGAATTTCTCTCTACAGCTCATTGCTGATGAGCACACAGTCCACATGCAAGAGAGCTTTCTCTGTAGACAGAGTTCTGTGTCAACAGTATAGGGCAGTAGAAAGAATGTTGGATGAGGAGTGGGGAGACCTGGGTTTTAAACCCGATTCCATCAATTACAGCTGTGAGAACTGAAATTATTTTTTCTACAAGCGTAAAATCTCTAAAACAGAGATGGTAACACTGAGGGTGATCAACTGAGATAATTTTATAAAATACTGTGCAACGTATGACACCGCTTTCACGTCCCTCACTACCATGGCCACTAACATCAAACACTTTGTGAGCAGGTGCCCCTGGGAGGTCCCTATGCTGGGGGAGGGGATCAGTACGAAGAGGCAGTTCTTGCTGCTCCGGGCACACTAACATGGAGCTGAGCTGATGCCTCGTTCTCGCCTCTGTAGTTGATGTGAAGGTTTCCAGAGGAAATTCCAGGTGTGGCTGCACCTGCTTCTGTATGTGAATTTCTCCCGTACCTGGCTCTTCCAGTTGTCTGGAAGGGGCAAGTGGTGGTTGGGGCCTCCGTACTTCTCATTGTAGTAGATGTAGGTGTTGAGGTCGGGGAAGTTGCGGTTCAGGTCCACGCCATTTGCATTGTTTCTGCCAACCAGATATCCAGAAGCGTCTGGGCCCTCGTGGGGAATGGAGAGAGGGAAAATGAAGGTTTCAGACTGAATCCTATATTTGAAGAACCCCTACTTCAAAACAAAACAAAAAAAAGCTTTACTGAGAGAAAACTTATGTACCGTAAAAGTCACCCATTTGAAGTATACAATTCAATTAATTTTAGGATGCTGACAGAGTTTTACAACTGTCACCACATCTAATCTGAGAACATTTTTATTACCCTAAAAATGACCCTCATGCCCTTTTACAGTCACTCTAACTCTTGTAGATTTGCCTTTTCTGGACATTTCACATATGTGAGATCATACAGTAGGTGTTTGGTTTTTTTCACTAGACAGTGTTTTCCAGGTTCCTTCATGTTGTAGCATGTATTAGTACTTCATTCCTTTTTATTGGTGAACTAGAAGCCCAGTGCATGAAATTCTGCACTGGTAGGATCCCTAGCGGCTGCCGGCTGTTGGCCAGGGCCTCCCTCCCTTCCCCCAGCCAGCCCCACCCCCTGGTCCAACTCCTGGACAAACTCCCAGTCGAGGGGACAATTTGCATACTATGCTTTTATTATATAGGATAACTCCATTATATTTAACACATTTTGTTTACCCATTCACCAACTAATAGACTGTATTAGTTGTCTGGGGCTGCCATAACAAATTACCACAAACTAGATGACTTATAACAACAGAAATTTGTTCTCCCACAATTCTGGAGGCTAGAAGTTTGAAATCTAGCCATGCTTGCTAAAGGTTCAGGGGACGATCTTTCTTTGTCTCTTCTAGCTTCTGGTGGCTGCTAGCAACCCTTCCCGTTCCCTAGCTTGCAGATGAATCACTCCAATTCCTGCTTCCATCTTCGTATAGCCTTCTCCCCATCTGTTTGTGTCTCTGTATAAATTTCTTCTTTTTTAAAAAAAATGTTTTTATTGATTTTTATTTTTAGAGAGGGAAAGAGAGAGGAGGGGAGAGAGACAAGGAAGAGAGAGATAGAAACATTGATGAGAGAGTAAAACATGGATTGGCCGCCTCCTGTATGCCCCCTACTGGGGATTGAGCCCGAAACAGGGCATGCACTCTGACCCAGAATCCAGGTGACCTCTTGGTGCATGGGGTGCAGGGGTCGATGCTCAACCACTGAGCAATACCAGCCGGGCAAATTTCTTTCTTCTTCTAAGAACAACAGGCATATTTGATATAGGGTCCACCCTAATCCAGTATGACTTTATCTTAACTTGATTACATATGCAAGATCCTTATTTTTAAATAAGGTCACATTTACAGGTTCCAGGTAGACATGAATTTGGGGGGATACTTTTTCAACCAGTACATGGACAATGGGGTTGTTTCCACTTTGGGGCTATCATGAATAATGCTGCTATGAACACGCATGTACAATTCTTTGCATGAATCTATGTTTTCCTTTCTCTTGGGCAGATACCTAGTGGAACTGCTGGGTCATAAGGTAAGTCTATATTTAACTTTTGCAGAAATAGTTAAACTGTTTTTTTAAACTGCCTGTGCCATGGACACCCCACCATCACTTCTAAAAGTTAGTACACTTGCTTATCTTCTGAATAATATCAACCTCATGCTTACACTTCAGACTTTATCACTTATTTGGTCGTGAATTCATTCATTCTTTCATTCATCCATCCATCCATCTAGTTAACCAACACTTATTTAAGTCCATCTCTGATAGATACTGGGGAAAGATAATGAGACATTATTTTAACATTCTAAGAATTCACAGTATATGTGGAGAGACAGATGTTTATATAAATAACTAAAATAAATTCCATGTAATGTTCTGGGTGGCCTTGGAGAAGGGGAATAGTGTCCACTGAACCCTGCTGAGAGAGTAGAGCCCCATGTGGTGGCTAGTCTTAGAAGGAAGGAGAATGGTTCAGTGCTGGGCAGCTAAAAACTCACAAAGGTACTACCAGTCTCCTATCTTTCCAAGAAATCTATTTTTTCACAAATTTCTTCATTTTCATGGCATCCTGCTTATATTTTATCCTTAGATCTCATTGAGAACATAATGTTTTTTGAAGTTCTCTTACATTTCCTACATCAATGTTGTCCAGTGGAAAACACTTAACTGATTTTTCAGTTTGGAGTTTGATTTTTCACTTCATGAGATAATGATTTTTTCTTATGCCTCTAGGGGTTTTTAACTACTTTTCTATTAGTATCAAATAGCTCTTACCTGTTCATATGAACAGCTATGTTAATTTACCTATCAGTATTACTGCTCACATGAGGCTGTTAGCTAAACAGGCAGGTTCCAGGGATTAGGACTTGGGCGTCTTTGAGGAAGTGGAGGGGGCATTATTCTGCCTTACCCATAGCTGGCTTTTTAAAAAAATATTTTTTTTTTTAATTGATTTCAGAGAGGAAGAGAGAGATGGAAACATCAATGACAAGAATCATTGATTGGCTGCCTCCTGCACGCCCCCTACTGGGGATCGAGCCCGCAACCCGGGCATGTGCCCTTGACTGGAATCGAACCCGGGACACTTCAGTCGGCAGGCCGGCAGGCCGATGCTCTATCCACTGAGCCAAACCGGCCAGGGCCAAAGCTGCTTTCAAGTTTGGTGGCCAGGCTGGTCTTCCACGAAGACAGGTTTCTTCTGGGCGTGGCAGGTAACTCTGAGAGTTTGACAACCTGAGGGGTCCTCTTTGGGTTCAGGCTCAAGCTCTGCTCCTTCTGAACAAGTGCACAGCAGGCAAGCAAAAGGGACTGGCTCCCCAAAGATACCCATAGGATTTAGAGAGCTGGCGGGGTTTCCCCACTTCCTCCCACCCCCACTTCATCCCACAAACGACGTGGGCAGGGAAGGGTCAAGAGAAGGAGAGCAGGCAGGCTGGGGTGCCACCCCCCCCCCAACTCTTTCAAATTTTTCTGCTCTTTTGGAAACTCAGGTCTCAAGGCACCTCTCTGATTTCCAGTGAAGGGAAAAGGTTTTGCTGCTTCATTTGTTACATCAACCAGCAGGAAGTTGGGAGATTGCAAAGGTCAAATTTGTGTTGAGTTCGATATGTTGGCTCCATTCCCCATCCTGTCTCTGCTCACCCCCCAGCCCTACCCTGCTTACAATACTCTTGGTCGTGAAAGGACAGGTACTGTGTGGCTCTACCTGTGCGGGACAGCGTGGCCAGACTCATGGAATCAGAGTGGCGGGTGGCTGCCAGGGGCTGGGGGAGGGGGAGTGGGCACTACTCAACGATGGGCGATGGGCGTTAGGTTTCAGTTGAGCCGGAGGGATCAGTGCCGGGGGTCTGCTGTATGACATTGTGCCTGTGGTTAACAATACTGTACTGTACACCTAAAATGTTGTTAAGAGGGTCGATCTCATCTTGAGTGTTTTTACCACACTAAAATAAAATTAAACAAATTAAGTAAAGCAGTGAATTCTAGTTTTTAAAATGAAAAAAAAATTCAAGCCTGTCCCAAATAAACATATTTTTAAATTTAAAAAAACTTTACACCCTACCCCCCCCCCTCCCCCAAAACAAATCAGGTTCAAACATCGCTTTCAAAGGAACGTGTTCATTGCGTAAGGCAGGTGTTTGGCTTTGCCCTTGAATATTCTAGTTCAGTTGCGGGAAAGGGGTGGACTCTGTATTTCAAAATATTCATTTATGACTTTAATGCACAGCCACAAAAGAATTGCCACTTTAAAATGAGGCACACTGACATTTTGAATTTATGTTCATAAAGTAAAAATCCATAGACTTTTTTTTCTTCTCTCCCCCCTGCAAATGAAACTCTAAAATAAAGAATTAAAAAGTTGAATACTACACTAGTAGAGGGGGGGAAAATCTACAGAAATAAAGTATGAAGAATCTAAAATTAACTCCTCACTTCACAGTTCTGGGAAAAGCTTGATTTCTCTGATCCACCCCCCCCCCCCAAACCCCAATGCAAATGCAGTTAGGGCTCGAAGCTAAAAGTTCCGGGAAGGAGGCCTATTTTGCAATGTCCCTTCATGCCTGCATAGTATTTTCCAGTTTACAAAGTGTCCTCACAAATATTGCCTCATTGACATTTCCAATAAAACCAGCAGGTCAGCTCGGTCGGCGTGTCTCAGTGGCTGAGCGTGGATCTATGAACCAAGAGGTCACGGTCAGGGCACATGGCCGGTTGCAGGCTCAATCCCCAGCGTGGGGTGTGCATGAGGCAGCCAAGCAATGATTCTCTCTCATCATTGATGTTTATCTCTCTCTCCCTCTCCCTCTTTGAAATCAATAAAAATATAAAAGAAAAACAAAACAAAACAAAACAAAACAGGAGGTCCACTGGAAAGGTGTTGAGGGAACTGAAATTCAGAGAGATCCCTCATTCATTGCATAGGGTTTTATAGCCCTGAGCCCAAACCTTCATACTTTATTATATTTCTTACAGTGGCACCGAGAGGACACATTTCTCCTGGCTTTTACTTCATCCCTTAAGATGGCTCTATGCTCTGCACAGCTCGGTACCTGGGCGGCCGCCACCTCGTAGCCATCCGGGTTCATGGACGGCATGATGTGAATGCGCGTGTCCTGGACCAGCCGCAGGATGCGCGGGTTCGCGCTCCGGAACTCCTCGCACAGGAACTCCGACAGCTGCAGCAGCAGCTCGCGGCCCAGCACCTCGTTGCCGTGCATGTTCCCCACGTACTTGACTTCAGGTTCCACTGCAAGCGTGAGAAAGACACGCGGGACGATCAAAGGTGGGGAACGTTTGCAAGCGCCATGGGTGCCTAACTTTGCAAAGGGACCCTTTCCCTCTTTTTCACCAGCGAATCCGAGAAAATCTCATGCTTCGGTTGGGTCTTTTCCAGTAATCCCTGAGCCCCTTTCCAACAAATTGCAATCACAAACGCTACACGAATCCATGCCCGGGAAAATAATGACCTCCACTGACTGAAGCCCTACTGTGTACCAGACATTTGTGCTCACTACTACTAATCTCCACAGAAACCTTGTAAAGGGGTCACTGCTCGCCTCAGGATGAGGGTACTGGGGAGGGGGGAGGTTAAGTAACTTGTCTGAAGTCACCTAGCTCATAATCTGGTAGAGGCCAAAGCCCAGGGAGCATTTACGCAGGCAGCTTGCTGCTTCTCAGAGACAAGTCTTTTAGGATAAGGGCGGGGTTTTCCCCAGACCTGCTCACGTAAACGCTCTAGGTTATACCATTATAGTTTCTAATCATCTTGGTTGAAAACTTAATTTCCCTGGTACTTAGGAAACTAAAATCTCTCCGTAGTATCTGAGAATGTTGTGTTTGAGGCACAGAGTGGGAAGGAATCTACCTAAGTCTCATTCCCTAATCTTCTCATTGGCTAAAGTAACTGCTCAATTAAAGCAAGAACTGAGGTCAGGAAAAGAGCCGCTAGAACCCCTTAAAGAAAATAATTCCAGCCCCTTTTTAAAGGAAGGAGAAACGCTCTGGCCAAGTGATTTATCTTCCTCCCTCTATGATTTCCCTTCCACCCATCTTCCTGTCTCTGTGGTTTTTCTGCTTCTGGACCTCTTCATCTCTGTATTTCCAAATCCCCCTCAACATCCTTGTAGGCTCTGGGGGGCCATCTTGGGCTCTCTCTGCTGTGAGTGAACTCACTGCTGAACTTCCCTTCTATGGTACCTACCACTTTCTACTCTGAGTTTTACCTAATTTTGCATAGGTCCTATTTTCTTTACTGGACCTGGCCTTTCCAATATATACATTTAAACAAATATTTTAGGGCACTTATCTTAGTGTACCTCCAGCAGTCTTTCCCCCCAAAATGTCTATAACCCACAAGGATCATGTAGTAAATTTTCCCTAACGTGTAGTCTTTAATTCTTTGTGCATTTCTTTAATCTTAGATTATGTCTTCCTTACTTTTCTTAGTGTTAAAATATCCCTTCCTTTAAGAAAGGGTGGTGACAGCAGATGGCAGGTAGTATCTTCAACATCCTTGTTCAGTAAAATAAAATTTGGAAAATATATTTTAGTCTCCTCCAATCTCTCTTATTTTAAAAAATGTTTAACTTCTTTGAAATCTAAAAGTGGGCAACTACTGCCCTGTAGAAACTAGCACAGTGCTTTGCCCTTAGTTGGTGCTCCCTGTCAAATTCGTTTGTCGCTACTTTCAATGTAGTATGCGGGATACAACCACTTATAACAACCACTGCTATCGTTTTGGTTTAAGCCTCTACACTCTCACACCTGGATCATTACACTAAATCTCCTACTTGAACTCCCTGCATCTGCCCAGCCCCATTAAAGTGCATTCCCCTGAGTCAACGTTCTGCAAACTTTTATTGTAAAGAGCCAGATAGTAAATACTTTGGATTGGGAGCTATATGATCTATGTCACAGCTCCTCAACTCTTGCAGTCCCAGACAATACAAAAACAAATAGGCGAGGCTATGTTTCAAAGAAACTTTATTTACCCAAACAGATAACTGCTCTGAGTGATCCTTAAGTTTTTTAAGTCAGATCATGTCCCTCTTCTGCTTAAAACCCTCCAGTGACTTCTGGCTTCACTAAAGGAAAAGGAAAAGCCAAAATCTTTACAAAAGCCTGTAAGGCCCTACCCACCCTCCTGTTCTGCTTCCCTGACCTCGCTGCTCTGACCTGTCTCCTGCTCTCCCACTGTTCGCTCTGCTGCAGCGGCAGGGGCCTCCTTGCTGTTCTTCACACATGCCAAGCTCTTACTCTCTTCTCTGCCTGCAGTGTTTTCCTTCCCAATATCAGTTTTAGCACATACTGACATATCACCTAGACAAAGAAGCTTTTTCTAAATAGCACTGACCACTCCCCTACTCTACCCATAGTACTGTATAACCTCCTCTTTCTCTCTTTCCTGGTTTATTTTTTTTCTACAGCACTTACTTTTGTCATATACATATATATATGTAATTACCCATCTATTGCCAGTCTTACCCAGATAGAATTAAAGCCCTGACAGCAGTGTATTCATTTTATTCTCTGTTGTATATTCAGAATTTACAAAAGTGCTTGCATATAGTCATAATCAGTAATATCCTATATAATAAAAGGGTAATATGCAAATAGACCAAATGGCAGAACAACCGAACAACTAATCAAAGCATAATATGGTAATGATATGCTAAGGCTGCTCAACTGCTCGCTATGATGTGCACTGACCACCAGGGGGCAGACAGTCAATCAGTCGCTATGACATGCACTGACCACCAGGGGGCAGATGCTCTGACCAGTAGGTAAGCTTGCTACAGACTGAGCGAGATGAGCCAGACATGCCCTGGAGCCTTCCCGCGGTCCCTCCCCCACCCAATTGTGCCCTGGTGGGATCCCTCAGCCTGGCCTGCACCCTCTCGCAATCTAGGACCCCTTGGGGGATGTCGAAGAGCCGGTTTCAGCCCACTCCCGTGGGCCACTCCCCTTTGGAGGGCGCCAGATGCAGGGCTCATGGCTGGCAAGTGCTGCTGCAGCAGCCTGAGCCTCTCCCAATTGGGACTGATTGGGCGCGAGCCCCCAGCAGGCACAGTGGGGCCGGGATGAGCAGGAGCGGCAAGTAGGAGCTGCAGGTGGCATTGGACTGCAGGTTTCGGCCTGATCCCTGCAGGCCACCCAGAGGGACCCCACCCATGCACGAATTCGTGCACCGGGCCTCTAGTTTGTGGAATGAATAACAAATAAATGAAAGGAACAAGTGGATGAAAAGCTAAGTTACAGGCATCAGAGAAAAGAAGGACCGAAATGAAAAAGCCTGAAGGAAGGCTTGAGTGCTAGGAAGCAGAGGGCGCATCCAGAAGAGGGCATGGAGCAAGGAGGGGCTCACTCCACAATGTCCATTAGCAGCCACAGGCTTCCACAATGGACGCACGACACGAGTAAAAGCAGGTGCTTGCTGTGTAATGAGGCTTCAGAGCAAGGCCCTTATCCTCACTTAATCATTCACTCTGCCTTCCTTTAGCCACCTCCCACTAACCTCCCCCCCCCTACCCATTGGCCATGTAATATTGAAGTGGTCATGGACAGAATCCACCTGGGGTGAGGTTGTCATTGAAGGCCTTTAAGCAGGGGGGTGAGACGATGGTATTAGTATTTAGGAAAATTATTCTGGCATCTCTGTGCTAAATGGAAGGCGCAGAGAGTGGTGGCAGTTCGGAAGTCAGTTAGGAGCCTAGTATAATGGCTTAGGCAGGTTGGGATGAAGTTTGGGCTAGGGGGAGGGTGTGGGAGTGAAGCAGAAAAGAGATTTGAGGTGGACAGTTTGAAGGAGGAACGGACATAACTTGAATGTCACAGTTGTTATAAGTAAAGCAGTCAGAAATTAGAAAAAAACTCAAATGTCCATCAATAAATGAACAGTTAGATACAACCATGCAATGGAATGTTATACAGCCAAACATGATGATGTAGATCTACATTTGCAGACATGGATGCCATTCATAAGAGGCTAGGCAGTGAGAAACGCAGTTGCAGTATGATTCCAATTTTATAAAATAAACCGTGTAAGGGGGTTCTAACTATGCGTAGAAAAAGTCTGGAAGGATATACATCGGTATGTTAGCACTGTCATCTGTGAGTGGTGGGATTACGACTGAGTTTTTTTCCTTGTCTAATTTCTAATTTTAATCCAAACATCACTTGCTTTTATAATAGAAACAAACTAACAACAATAACAAATAATGCAATGACTAAAACTAATACCCCAGACCTCAGACCCTCTCCAGGATACCATACTCTATCTCACCGTCCTTCCCCAAGGAAACATCCCTAAATCCTTCTCAGTTTCCTGGCAGAATTAGAAGGGCTAATGGTGTCTGCTTATGTCTCCTGAGGCATTAGGTAGACTGAGGATGACAGAGTAATAGCCAGGGGGGAGGGGCAATGGGAGGGAAGGAAGCGGGCAGGATGGGGGATGGGAGCAGGGAGGAAGGTCCTGAGCTACTAGAACCTAAAGAAGAGGAACCACCTGGAGCCTGAGCTGAGCTTGCAGCTCCCAGAGGCAGAGGCCATCAGGGCTGAGCAGGAAAAGGTGCTCAGCGCAGGCTGGGGGGGTGGGGGGGGGTGCTCTTTGGTAGGTGGAGGGTCCGGGGCCTCCCCGCCGCCACCCCCGGGACGGGATTTGTAAGGAAGGGTCCTGCCCTCACACTCCAAGGACAGCTCGGGGCTTACGGGGCTCGTGGATCCCAGGGTAGTCGCTGAATTCCAGCACGTAGAGGTGTCTCCCCTTCACGCTGCGCCCCACGCTGTAGACACGCGTGATGTGGGGGCACTCGTTGTGCACCTTGTACAGCGTCCGCACGAGGTCGTCGTAGCGGCGGTGGCGGAAGGTCACCGGGGCCGCCAACTTGCAGAGAAGGAAGAGGTGGAGGAAGACGGAGAGCAGGCCTGACATCTCGCCGGGCTGCTTCCGAGGGAACCGCGCAAGGAGCCACACTCTCCCCCGACCTGCTTCCTCGCCAGCCCAAACCCGGGGGCCGCGAACCAGCTGGGGCCAGCGCCCCGCCAGCCAACGCCCCGCGTGTGCCGGCACCTGGGGAGACGCGCCGCGCTGCGCCCACAGCGGGAAGGCACGTCTGCAGCCCCGGGGTGATCACCTCTCCTGCCCCATCCGCGGCCCCTCCGGACGCAGGAAAACCCTTGGGAGGGTTTCGCACGTCCCCAGGTTCGGCGGCCTCACTGATTCGGGTTTACTGATTAACTGCACTGGAAACCGGCTCCAATAACTAGCTGCTTATAACCCTTTGATTCCCAGAGAATTTTGAAAAACTTGGACGATGCTTGTTCCCTATGTTATAATTTAATGTGTTTTTAAAATGGATTTCAGAGAGGGAGGGAGAGGGAGAGAGAGAAACATCGATGATGAGAGAGAAATCACTGAGGAGCTGCCTCCTGCACGCCCCTCAGGGGAGGTTGAGCCTGCAGTCTGGGCATGTGCCCTGCCTGGGAATCCAACCGTGACCTCCTGGTTCCTAGGCTGCCGCTCAGCTGCCACCTGTGTTATAATTTAAAGCAGAGTCATACAGTAGAGCTGTCTGTCCCTTCCCGTCCATCGCACACACTGCCGCCAGGCCATCTTTCTGAAGCACAGCTCTGTCTTGTCCCTTTTCTCCCCCAAAATCTTTTAACGGACACCACTGAAAAAATGAACAGGTAAGCCACAGGGTGGAAGTAAACAGTCTTAAGTCATATATCTGGTAATATATTCAGAATACGTCAAGAGCTCTTACAACACAATATTAAAACAAACAACCCAAGTTAAAAACGACTAGAAGATTTGAATGGACATTTTATTAAAGTAGAGATATGAATGCCCAATAAGCACATGTGAAGATGTCCAACGTCACTGGTCATTAAGGAAATGCAAGTTAAAACCACTTCGTGTCCGCTAGCACGGCTGTACCAAAAAAAGGCACAATAGCAAGTGTTGGTGAGAACAGGAAGACACTAGCATCCACATATAGTCGTGAGTTCTTGTATTTTTATTTGTTAATTATCTTATTATTTGTATGTATTACGACTGCAAACCTACATTTGACTACCCTGTATATTGCCAATGGGAATGTAAATGGTGCCGCTACTTTGGAAAACAGTTTTGCAGTTTCTTAAAAGATTGAATATGTACTTACTATATAACTCAGCAATTTCACTTCTAGGTATCTACCTAAAAGAAATGGAACATATGTCTACACAAAAACTCCCTCACGCATGTTCATAGCAGTATTATTCACACTAGAAGAAAGTGGAAACAATCCAAATAATCATTGATTGGTGAATGGGTAAACACAGTATGGCCTATCCATACAATGGAATATCACTGACATGAAAAGGATATAACACAATATATCTTATATGAATGAATCTTAAAAATATTATGCTCAGTGAAAGAAGCCACACACAAAAGACCACATATTATATGACCCAATTTATATGAAATGCTTAGAATATAGAGACAGAAAGTAAATTAGAGGTTGCCTGGGCTGGAAGTAGAAATGTGGAGCAACTATAAATGAGCACAAGGTTTCTTCTCAGGATGGGAGATGTGTTTTTAAATTAGATTGCGGTGATTGTACAACTCGGTCAATATATAAAGATTCATTGAATTGTATATTTAGAGCAGGTGAGTTTTATGGTATACAAATTATATCTCAAAAAAAAAAGCTTTAAATGATTAAGAGAACAGTTAACTATAAAAGTTAACTATAAATTTACTGTACAACCCAACAATTTCACTCCTGAGTACCTTATCCAAGAGAACAAAGATAGTTCATTATTTGTTACAGCTTTTCAACATGTACTTAATACACGTTATATAACAAGTATAGGAGGGACTGGGAGTCCAGAAAGAAATAAGGTATTTTCTCTGGCCTGAAGGACCTTATATTTTAATCACGGAAGTTAACACACACACACACACACACACACACACACACACACACACACAACCACCACAACAACAACACAATTATAGCATAATGCCATGTTTGTAGAGAAGCATGCACAGAGTTTTTTTGAAATACAAGGAGTGACACTGAAATCAGACCAGGGGTAAGTGATAGGAAAGGGTTAGAGAAAATGATGCCTGAACTTAGTTTGGAAACACAAATAGGAGTTAGCCAAATGGAGGGAGAGGATATATATGTTCAAAACCTGTCCTCTGTTGGTGTATTTTACTATACTTGTTTTCAAATGGCAAAAACATTTACAGAGACTTTAGAGAGATAGCAAGTTGTTTGGTGTGGTGAGGGGAAAGGAGAGGTGTTGGGGAAGAGGGGCGACCTGACGTTGGAAAGATCATAAACCACAGGTCATGAGGGCCTTGGTGAGGGAGAGAAGTTTGGACTTAACTAAGGAGAATGGAGAACCGACAAAGAATCTGAACAGAGGAAGCAAGTTGACACGATGTGATTGGCTGTGGCTGGCGTGGAAGGAAGACCACGCTGGCTGCAGTGTGACCTGTGCAGAGGGAGGGGTGAAGCCAGGCAGGAAGTCAGGTTCAGGTAAGGATGAATGAGAGCGGGACTGAGGTTCTGGCAGTGGAGGCGAAAAACAGAAGCAGTTAGTTATGAGGATCCGCAAGAGTGGAAACGGAGCGGGCTTAGAGGCTTAGAGGTCGAGTGCATCTGGGACATGAGTGACCAGGAAGAATTTAGAACGGCCCCCAGGTTCTTGACTTGGGCAACAGGTGGTGCCATTTCCCAAGAAGAGCTGCTGGGGGAAGAGATGCTGCAGTCAGATTCAAACAGATGGCATTTGAGGTCCCTGAGGAATAGACAGAAGGGGAAAGCATCCTAGTCAAGGCAGTAAGAAAATAATAAATATGACTACTATATACATCGCACTGGACAGTGTAGCCAAACTGTTGCTGAAAAGCGAGGCAGGCTGAGTGAAGACAATGAGGGGGTGGGGCCCCAGGGGCGTTTGTGTGGGCCAGAGGAGCAGCCTGTTCCTGGAGGGCATTGGAAATCCAGCAGGAGAGGGTGAGCTGGTTCAGAAACTAGAGGAAACCCAGAAGGGTTTACCTTCTTGGAAACCCAAGTAATGGCCCTAATAAAGCAGCACAAAATCCATTAAGGGGTGGCGAGTGGTAAGCTCCGATGTTTTCAACCACAGATTTCATTTTTTTAAAAAAATATATTTTATTGATTTTTTACAGAGAGGAAGGGAGAGGGATAGAGAGTTAGAAACATTGAGAGAGAAACATCGACCAGCTGCCTCCTGCACATCTCCTACTGGGAATGTGCCCGCAACCAAGGTACATGCCCTTGGCCGGAATCGAACCTGGGACCCTTCAGTCTGCAAGCCGACGCTCTATCCACTGAACCAAACCAGTTAGGGCACAGATTTCATTCTTAAGTGGCAATTTTTCAATCCACGCTCTGTAATCTGACACTTAATTTTAGTTAAATTGATCTCTTTCCCACAGTCTGTGCAGGGATGTGTTGGCTCTGTGTTCTCACGGATTAAGTTCAAAATTCTCTTCATTTGGCAGGCATTCTGCAGAGTCTTGTGTTTATAACTTCTCCCTTATTTATTGGAGGGGGAAGTTCCTTTTTTCTTTTTTGATCTTTTATTTTGCTTTCAGTTGGTTTCAAAAGTTGGAAGTCAATTCACAATGTTCCATTCCCACTATCTTCAACCAGAATAAATATTCTTGAATATGCTTTTTCTAAATGCAGCCCTTCGGGGGTTTCCAAGAAGGGAAATGCTTCTGGGGTTTCCTCTACTTTTGGAGTGTGTGTGTGTGTGTGTGTGTGTGTGTGTGTGTGTGTTATCTTCCTTGGTTAAAATATAAGGTTCTTAAGACCAGAGACAATGTTGTATTTCTTTCTGGACTCCCAGTTCCTCTTATACTTGATATATAACATGTATTAAATACAGTTGAAAAGTTGTAACAAATAATGAACTATCTCCTTTTCATTGACATTTTGTTGACTTTAGAACAGGACAGGAAATGATTAAATGGGATTTCAGCAACCCTGGCTCCTCCACATGTCCCCACTAACCCTACTTCCAACAGGGCCATCATTGGCTCAGTGACATGTTGGTTCAGACTGCCCTCTAGCCAATGGAAAGCATGGATGGCATGGACTCTGAATCCATTCTGTGTACCAGTGTTGCCTAATTTGTAAACAGCCTGTACCTGTGTCATCTTCCTTGCTGGAAGTAAAGAGGTTCTTTCTGAGTTTGAAAAACGAATGCAATGTGTGTTCTGATATGACATCATATTGGGTATCAGGGTGTCTGGCAGAGGTTAACTGGAAGAGTCTGGCACAAAGTAATCTGGTCATTGAAAAGAAAGGACTAACATAATTTAGACTCTGAACAGCCCTGTTAAGCAGACCAAACATACTAGGTGGCAACTATATTTCATTGATTCTAAGGTGCTGTTTACTTCACATTTTATTGTCTCTGAAGCTGGAAAATATTTTTTAAAAGATGGCATCTTAGATTCAGAGAAATTCAATATTATCTACACTAATAAAAGAGAAACATGCAAATTGGTGTCACTCCACTACACCCACCAGCCAATCAGGGTGATTATGCAAATCAACCCAACAAAGATGGCGGTTAATTTGCATATGCAGGTGTGGAGCGAAGACTGAAGGCTCCAGCCAGAGTGAAGAGTGAAGATTGAAGAGGCTTGGTTTCTCCCCTGCGGCCGCAGCGGAGAAGTTAAGGCTCCCTGTGGCCACAGCGGAAAATCCTAGCCTCGAAGCCTCACTGCAGCCAGAGGCAAGAAGCCTAGCCTCGAGGCTTGGCTTCTCCGCTGTTGCCGGACTAAAGGCCTGGGTCCCAGGTGCTGGAGGAAAACTGGTGCCGGCAGCCAGGGGAAGGAAGGCCTATTGAGCGAATCTTCGTGCAACGGACTTCTAGTAATAAGTATAAAAGAATTCAACATGTCAATATTATATCAGAGAAATATGACAAATATTAATTGATTGAATAGTGACTAAGCCTTACATTTTCACATTAAACCGTGAAACAGACTGGAAAAAACCATGAATGGCTTAAAAGATAAAATTTGAATTTGCACTGACTATGATAGAATTTTCAACGACTTGATAACACAAAAGCCATCATTTATGAGCCCCTGCTAATTGCCAGGGAAAATACATACATCCTCAACTCCCTAACCTAAAAGGTAGGTGTTGCTAATTTCAATTTGTTT